CCCAGCTTTAAACACTGAATGGTCGTACTCTATCCTGCACTCCATGTTATCCATTGTTGATCTGCACATGTCTGTTGCTGCCACGGACGTCGCACGCTCGTACGTCACTGTCATGAGACACTCTCACAAACAAAATCACAGTTTAGTAACACAGTAACGCAGCCTGCTTACGGGAAAGTAACGGTAATGTAATTACTTTTTTGGGAATATTATCCCTTATATATCGCAGGAATGACTTAAAGACATAAAGACCTGGATGCCATCTAATTTTCTGATTCTAAATTCAGATCAAACTGAGGTTATTGTCCTTGACACTAATAATCTTAGAAATAGAAGGATCTAACCAGATTCTTACTCTGGATTGCACTACCTCGGCCTTCACTGTGAGGAGCGTCGGAGTCATTTTCATTTTAGAATATGTCCTTCAGTGCACATATTAAATAAATATGTAGGACTGCTTTCTTCCACAATGATGCTGAAAATCAATCTAGGCTGGACTACTGTAATTCGTTGTTCTTATAGCCAAGCTGGTAAACTTGGACCCCCCCGCCCCCCCCATCAAAACCTTCCTTAAACACCGAACACAATCAGTCAGGGTTGCAACCAGAGACCATCCGCCCTGCCACTCAGCGCTGGCTCACCACAGGGATGTGTGCTGAGTCCACTCCTGTGCACCATCTACACCACTGACTGCACCCCCCTATCCCTGCAACATCATCATCAAATTTGCAGACGACAGCATGGGGCTCATCACCAACGATGATGACACCACCTACAGAGATGAGGTCCAGCGTCTGACAGAATGGTGTGACTACAATAACCTCACCTCAATACCAGGAAAACCAAGGAAGTGGTCATGGACTTGTGCAAGACAAAAGCTGATCCCCCTCCGCTGTCCATAAAAGGTGACTATGTGGAGAGCGTGTCCTGAGATGAGTTGGAACAGGCTGCAAACCTACTAGTGTTCTTCTATAGAGCCACAATCGAGAGTGCTGCCATCACTGTGGTACGCTGGTTGCACAACAGCCAATAAGAAGAGACACCAGATGGTCATCAGAACTGCAGCGAAGGTGATCGGCTGTCCACTCTCCCCCCTGGACTCCATTGTGAGCTCTAGATTATAACCACCACCTCTTCAACATCCTGCCCTCTGGCATCAGGAGCAAAACCAACAGACTAAAGAACAACTTCTACCTGTGGGCTGTCAGAACCATTAATGCAAATTAAGAGCATGAGCAGACCTCTCCCATACAGTCTGTCTGTCGCTGCTATTGACTCTGTTGCTGCCATTCCCTGTGCAATATTTTGGTCTTTCCTTTTTCTGTACAATATTCTGGCAGATGTGCAATTACCGTCCTCATCCTTAATGACCATAGCCCTTAAACCCTTATTTACTTATTATATCATATTATTTCCCTTGTACACACCCCCACAATGTTTCTGTAACTCATACACCGTGTATATAGTGTGCTCACGTGGTATCATGGGGTTATTTTAACAAACGAAGGACATTTTGCCTGATAATTATTTTCATCCTCCTGTAACTTTACTGTATAAAGAGC